CACACGTCCGAGAGTTTGGACAGCACCCAGATAGCTTCATATCTTCGAAGAACACGAGAGCCAGCTCGCTTTCCCCGTTGTCCACAAAGCCTTGTTCAAGCTCGTCCAGAGCACGACATCACGACGAGGCATGCTCTCGAAAACCATCCGCGCGTCGACCATGCTCCCACACTTTGAGTACATGGTACTTGGCTGCTCCCCACGAACATATCTCCGCAGCAGTGGCTTTTCACAGCTCCATCGTGAACAGCGAGCCCCTTCTCCAGGCTCTTCGTCTTCCCCATCTTTTGGTGGCCTCCTCTTTCACTGCTAGATTCGCACAGCCCTTGGCAGCAGCAACGAAAGTCCGAGAGTTTGGCGAGCAGCCCATCTTCCCAAAGAACTCGAGAGCGACCTCGCTTTCTCCATTCTCTACGTATCCCAGTATCAACGCGTTCCAGGAGACCACGTCTCGCTGTGGCATCTCATCGAAGACCGATCGAGCATCGAGCATGATGCCGCACTTAGTTCGAGAGGAAAACGTCTTCGCTGCAAGACGGTCCCATCTGCTTGGCTTGAGAATGGATGCCTCTGCCGGTCTCGAGACTAGCCTCCTTGACGAGCTTCCCATCGACCAAAACAGCGTCTTCCTTCGCCGCAAGGCTGCTACAAGCCTTTGCCGCGTCCTGGAGTTTGGCTTGCAGCCCGACCGCCTGGCTTGCATCCTCTCGAAGAGATCCAGAGCCACATCGCTCTCGCCATTGGAGACGTAGCCCAGCATCAAGGACATCACGTTTGGGTGAAGAATGCTGTCGAACACGCGGCGGGAATCCTCCATGCTGCCGCATTTCTCGTACATGTCCACCAGCGCATTGACAACATGGATCCCCAGCTGCTTGCTCTCCGCCGCCTGGGCGTGGATCGCCCAGGCGCAAATTGCCCTTGCGCAAATCCGTTGTGACCTTCAACGCCGACACCTGCTGATCGGGCGCCCGCGGCGGCGCTGCCGAAGGAGCGAATGCTGGTGCGGCGTATCGAATCGCTGCCGTCGCCAAGTCCCATCCATCGCAAGAACCCTAAAAATTTGCAAGGAGCAAAGCCCTAACCCTAAAAACATGGAAATTCAACCAAGGCCGTCGATTCAAGAATATCTGACGGTTGGAAATGAATCGGGGACCATTAGCCTGGAAAAACCTTGAAGGAAAAATCGCCCTGTACAACCCAGCGTAGCCTTGGATGCGAACAATGTGCCTCAGCGCGCTCGCATCTCCGGTCGCCCTCGAGTTAAGTCGATCGGAAACACCGCTGAAAACAGGAACTATGGCGATCAAGCGTAATCGCTCTTAAGACTCTTACCTGTTGAGGCAGCGATTCCTGCTACTCCACCGGAGATCAAGCTCGTCACCATCCTACTCGGGCCTGAAAGTAAACATGCAACGCCAGGAGGCCTAAGCTTGTCAAAACTGTGTTTACCAATGCGATGGTGCTCTGTGCCTGTAAAGCTTTTCCAAAAATTTCTCACACTCTGAAACTAAAAAAAAATCCAACTTTGAGCGTTCCAGTAGTTGTAGAGAGTGTCATACAAGCAGAAGATTATCGCAATCGTTGGGCCTATGGCAGGAGTCAAGTCTGTGGCATTTGGCAGGGAGGAAAACCAATACCAAAAGTGTCGGTCAGAGTTCCTTATAAAGGCTAAGAAAGCTCTCCTGTTGATGGATTGTGAAAAGGGTGTGATAGATGCGGATGCACAGCAACATCTACACGCAAGAGCACGAAAGCTGTCAAGGGAACAACCAACAACAAAGATCACAAAGCTCAAGGTGAGGAAATTTAGGAGAAGACTCAGGAACAAGATCCTGAACATGTAACCACTTTGCAGGTTCCAAGCTTACAGTCGTCAAACTAGAGTGTAATGTGAACATGACCCAGCAGGAGCAGTCTCCAGCATCTCCACTGCACACAGCAACACCAACACAACTAGTTCTCAATGCTGATGCCGATGCCGACAACATGCTGCATCACTGCAAACACCACAGTTGAGAGCATCCTGAGCAGGAGTGACACTGCAAGCCTGAGCTTACATTGGATCTTAAGCTTGGCATTTCTCCAGTTTGTGGACAAAATGCAGTGTCTCCAGTCAACACCATAGATGCCGATACCAACAGATTTTGCGAGGCTTTTCCACAACAAGCAGATGAGCATTTTCATGTGAGACAGAGTCCAATCAACACCTTTGTCTACCAGCCCCTAGATGCGAAGTTCACGAAGATCCAGAACCATATTCTCCAGCTCAAGAGGAGCATTCGAGGTACAACTTTCTAGGATCTGTATGCACAAAGACTTAGTGCATGAACAAGGAACTCCCCAAGGAGAATGCAGAGCTTTGCAATGAGATCCGACAACTCAAGGTGAAGCAGCTGTAGGGATAGGGTGTGCTATAACAAAAGAACAAGTTCAAGAATGAGCTCTCTGAAGTTATAGCAGCAACAAAACAGCCCAATGCCATGGAGAAGTGAGAGCTTCAAGATGAAACTCAATTCAGTTATCGGAGAAAAGTGGAGCATAAAAAATCAACTTTATATTTAGAAACATCATCTAAAGTCTTGAAATTTAAACCTTGAAACTCAAGAACAAGAATGAGTGGCAATTGCCCCATGTAGAATAAATTAAGGGGGTGAGTTAACACTCAAATTCTCTTGAGTACTCTAAATTTTGAGCAAATGGACGTGCATTAATGATAGAAGGCTGGAGTACAAAGAAAGGGATCGATGCAAATCTTATCTTTGCTTATGACTTTGACAAAAGGTTTTTTAGGGATTAAAGGACTCAAGTCATTCCTTTTTTACTTTTTATATGTTTATTCATGTCTAGCTGAAGCAAAATGCAAAATCAAGTCAAACAAATGTAGTAGTAAGCATCCACTCTACTCTCACCTTTTCTCTTTCACTCTTATTTTCTTTCCTCTTTCTTTCTTTTCTAGTACAAGTTTTTAGTATATAGACTTTTACCCAAGTTTTTAAGAATGACTTGTTCTAACCTTTAAAGAGATGATTGCAAAATATATGAACTTTCAACATTTAGATTGAGATGGATATTTGCCATTTCTTTGTTCGTGTTTCACCTTATAAACTTTTGTATGGTCATTATTTGATATTGCTAATAGAGTTGAGTTTACTTTCATGATTGCTATAGGCTGCCAATATTAAGTTTTGGGATCAATATTTAATAAGCATTCTTCTACTCATTTGAGTGGAGTTTATTCAGCACTTAAGCTGTATATAAGTGGGATAATAACAACACAACAACTTCCATCATCGTCCATCAGTGGAGTACAAAGTGGATGATTTAGTATTAATCTATTTTCCCAATGTTACAGTATATGGTTTGTCTAAGGGGCTCCTTATTCAATAGAAGGGACCATATTAAGTGTTATGGTAAGTTAAACTGCATGTTTATAAAGTTTGGCAAAACATTCAACAAACTAATCCTCTAAAAATTATGCATATGGAATAACTTAAACACTTTGTATAAAGGAATCCACTAATGCCTCTTTCTGATGTTCCTCTAGATCCTAGTTTGTTAACCTGAAAACCTTAACTACCTTTCATCCTTTTAAAAGAATAGGATGATATGAAGTTTAAGTGTATAGTTATGATGTTGCATATAAATATTAGTATAATTTTTTAGACCACTCACTTTTGTATATAAACTATGGTTTTTATGCTAATTAAGATGCATATTTCTATATGCACTAAGAGTGCTACTTAAACTATAAGTGAGGCTAGAAAATAAACCCTTTTAATGGCATCTTTCTCAATATTAGATCAAGAGAGTAATAAATAGCTCAATGAAGTTATCAGTCTTTATACTTTTTCTTAGTGAAAATCTTATAACTTAATTATTTTATTAGTACTATATACTTAATATATATATATATATATATATAAAATCAATATAATTCATTAGGAGTAGGTATAATATAACTAGTAAATTTTAGAAATATAATAGATTTACATTTAAATAGGACAGAAAAAAAAGTTAAATAGAGAATGGATAAAAATGAAAATACAAGTGATAGAGAAAAAACCATTGATATTTTATCACTTGAAAAGTTCTTCACCACTTAAGAAATAATAAGCTTAAATAGAATATTAATTATATAGTATTTTAATTCCTTTAAAAAATTAAATATCCTTAATTTTTTTAAGGGGAGGTAAACTCCTGAATTTTGACTTCTTAGGAGGTCACCCAACCAAGTACCATTCAAACCCAAGAACACTTAACCCAAAATATCCCAAAATTCTTAACTGATTGAAAAAAAATATACATTCTTATTTATGGGCCCTTTCCTTGTATATTTGAACTATCTCTCAAATTATTTTAAACTTCCCGGGAGAGGTCACTTAGCCCAGTACCATTCAAACCTAAAGATGCTTAACTCCAAATATTTTAAGACCCTTAACCGATTGAAAAAAGAGGTGCATTCTTATTCATAGGCCTTTTCTTTCTATATTTAAACCTTATGAACTGTTTCTCGAGTTATTCTCTTTAGTTACTAACAAAAGCATTTAAGGTTACCAAATGGTATTACTTAAAAAACAAGCAAGTATATTTTTAAGGGCAATTTGTAATGTATGTGGTTTTTACCCTTTATTTTATAGTGATTTACTATAGGATAACCACAAAGTAGAACTTAAACCCTCTATATGCCACATGTCATATACCACATGTCTAAAGTACAATGGTGTGGAACCCAAGTTTTAGAGCCTTAACCCATTGAACGAAAGAACAATGCTAAACTTTTAGATATGGACCCAAGGAGCAAAAGTATTAAAGCATGGAGTAACTCCCAAATGTATAACTCAAGTAGCGAAGGGACATGAGCACGGAGCAACTTGGAATAGTCCTAAAGCATCTAACATCTCAATACTAAAACCAACACGCAAAATAGAGCCAAACAAAGTTTAATGCTATTTCAATATATTAATGCATAATGCAAAAATACTTCACCAATTAACATGGTATGAAACTTGGGGTTTAGATGTAAGCCAAATGCAAAACAAGGACAAACACACAAGTGGAAGCTAAATTATACTTCAAGTTAGTTAACCATGTTATCCCTACTATATATTTGGAACCCCCAGCTGGAGCTTCACCTTTTGTGCCACTTCCTGCACAGAGCTTTTGTCAAGGTCTCCTTCCGGGCTCTCCACAAGATATGACATATGGCATGCTTGAACCCGGCTGGGAAAGAGCTTCACCACCTCCGTGACGTTCAAGTAGTGAGTAACGAAGAGCGTGAAGCATTGAACCTCTTGGAGAAGGTGATGGAGCGTTGCATACGCAATGGCAAGGCTGTCGTGCGTGCTGGTTCCTCTTTCCAGCTCGTCGATGACTACCAGCGAGCGAGAAGTTGCCTTGTGGAGGATAGTTGAAGCTTCGCTCAGCTCCTCAAAAAACGTACTGGAGCCCCTCTGGATTCTGTCCATCGCCCCCATTCTCGTAAACACGGCAACGAATACATGCAGTTTGGCTGTCGCGGCTGGAACATACAATCCTATCTGCACGATAACAAAACATACGGAGTGAAAAGAAATAAAGATAGTTGCGAACCTGGGACATGATTGTGATTAGAGCAACTTGACGGATGTAGCAACTTTTACCACCCATGTTTGGACCAGTGATTATTTGCGATCGTTCACCCTCACCAGAAAGAACTGTGTCATTTGGTACAAATGCATCTTGCAGAGTCGAATCTAGGACCTGCTCGGAAAGAAATTCCAGTAATAATATTAAACGACAAGAGCAAAAGAAACAAACCGGATGTCGACCACCTTCTATCTTCAAAAGGCACGCTTCATCCACGAACTCCGGTCGAACATACCCCTGAAGCACATTTTTCATTCAGATAAGCGTTGAAAAACACAAGGAGACAGACCTGATTGCACGAGACAACAGCAAGGGAATAAAGACAGTCGAGAGCTGCTAGTGCCTGTACTGCAGCCCGGAACTCCATGTGATAGGAGGTAAAGCCAGTCAGGAACATGTCCCATGCTTTGGCGCAAGATATATTTAATTGCTCCTTTGCAAGTGCCATTCTTTCCGATGCTTCCAAGACCTCCGGAGGATGATAGCGGTTTGCCTTTTTCGTACTGTTTATTTTAACCCAATCTGCAGGTACACGCTGCGCACATGGAACCTGAAACTACAAGCTTTTAGCAATCAAATAACTGAATTGAGAAAAAGAAAGTACCTCGACCAAAAACGACATTCCCGAGACGCTCAAGTATTCCAGATTTGAACACTTCAACAGTTTCCGATAACTGGGAAGAAAACTTTCGAGATCCTCCTCAATACTTTTTATGTTCTCTTTGCATTCGTCTACCTGAAACACGACTTAAACGAAGTCTGGGAAACGATAACAAACCTCGGGATACTGGCCGGCAACAAACAAGTTAATCTTATCCCCAGCTGCTGCTGCCTCTGCATTCAAACTTGTCACAAGCTTGTTTGCGTGATCTATCACTGAAGTTGAAGTCACTGCGGAGATTAGCCTGATGAGGAGCGCAGACCTGGCGTCGCGAACCCGTTGAAACTGGGACGCTGCTTTCATAATCGCATTAATCACGTTAATGAACTGCAGCAAACATTACGGTCAGAAAAGAATAACCACAGGATTACAGAAAAGGAAAGGTACCTCATACGTTGTTGCTGTTTTGTGATAAATTCTTGTGATACCACGCTCAAGATCAGGCAATTTTCCCAGCAGCAACAACGTTGAAGCTAAAGTTGCAACTGTTGTGCCTCTGCCTTTATCTCCAATGGATTCGGCAATTTCCGCAACGGCGTCTAAACGTTGAGAAATAAGCATGCGGTCTCTTAACGGATGGGCCACCTGAAAATAGACATGAGTGGAAAAAACGAAAAATCCAAGATTGTGACTGAGACCAAACTCCTTACCCAATACTTAAGCAGCCTCGCGCCAAAAGCAGTTTTTGTGTGGTTCATAAGCCAGAATAAAGATCCGTTTTCAGTACCATCAGTTTGGTTATGTAGAATCTAGAAAGAAAAAACTTGTTACTGGTAAGTAAACATCGCATTCAGTGGTTACCTCAAGCTGGCGGATGGTATTGGGCGAGAGCGTCATCTCTTGCTGTCCGGCAAATGGTCGGAAAAGAGCTCCTAAGCGCAATACATTTTCCAGATTAAACTGCTTCAGATAAGCAAATATATGCGCAAACGCAGCAACCACGATTTCTGGCATCGTCATCAACGCCTGCAAACTTCAATTCTCATCCGATAGTGTAATCAAGACAACTAGAAAATTACCTCTAACCCTGCATCAACCTTCTCGTCCAGACAGCCTTTCTTAGAAGACGCCAAGCTCCCGTAGAAGTCCGCAAGAGCAGCAACAGTACCGCCATTTTCAAACGAGTTCTCAGGCGTCTTCTCGGCTCGAACATCCGCTGCGCCTGCATAGTCCATCAACAACTATACAAAAATCACCATCATTCATATACAACCCGATCAGAGAAAAGAAAAAAAAGCTTACCTTCTTTGTAGAAGTGGACAAGGACGCAGATAAAAGAAGTTCTGCGGGAGCACACGCAAGCAAGCGTGATTCCAGTTCCGTCCTGGTGACAGTGTCCAGAAAGTGGCCATACATCACGTCTCTGGTCGAGGTTTCCACGGCCACCACCCCAAATCTAGCATCAAAACTTCCCTTCACTTCATCCTTTCCAGCGTTGGCCTTGTGCTCGGTGATTGCCTCCTCCACAACACACATGATATAGCTGCTAAGACGAATAGGTCCATCCCTTTCCCCGCTCTCTTCTCCCCCAAGAAACTCCCCGGCCTCGAGCGTGGCCTTGGTATATAGCGCCGAGAGATCTCTCGAGAATGGGCCAGCCTTGTTCGTCCCGTGAGCTTTGATAGCCGCTGTCTCGGTCTGCTTGACAACGCCAACTTTGTAGCCAGCTTCCACAAGCCTTCTCACATGTACGTGCAGCCGGAACGTTGGAACGCTGGCAGTGAGAAAGTTGTGGCTGTAGTAAGCAACGATTCCCAAAACATTGGCTGCTTTCTCCGCATCCTCTCCGAAAAATCGAAACTTGTATCCCACCTCGACCATGAGAAGGATGTCTGGGAATGTCTTCTTGAGCTCCACAATCTGCTGCTCCAGAGGAGTAAGCTTCTCCTTCCCTGACGGTGGCTTTCCATAAAAGGAGGAATTTCCACCACCGCCATCCCTGTCCCCCTCTCCAAGAAGAACATCTACAAACTTTCTACGCCTGTCTTTAATCGCTTCCCCCGATATTCCGCAATCGGCATCCTTCCCATCGCCCGCCCCGGCGTCTACATCTAAATTCAAGCACCGTTTCTTACTCGCGCTGGCCGCATTCTCGGCTGATCGCCTGAGATGATGCGGCGATGGCCACACTAGTGTGGGAGCCCGCGATGCATCGGTCTCACCTCGCTTGAAGAAGCTGGGGATGATCGCCTGGCCCTTGGCGGCGGCAGCGCCCTCGTCCTTCTTTCTCTTTCCCATTCAAAAACTTATAAACCCTAAGATTCTTTCTTCAAGCCCAACAATTACAGTCACCACCCCAAATCTATGCTTGAGGCTAAGGAGTTTCTGGGAGGAGAAGAGGGCGGTGAAAGAGATGGACCAATTTGTCTTAGCAGCTGGGTGCTGGCTTTGGTATATAGAGCCCAAGAAATCGAGAATGGGCCAGCCTTGTGTCTTGGTACGCCAACTTTGTAGCCAACTTCCACAAGCCTTCCCATACATGCAACTGGAATGAGAAAGCAGCCAATTTTCTTAAAATTTGTTTATCATAGCCACAGCTTTCTCACTGCCAGCGTTCCAACATTCTGCCACATCCTCTCCAAAAAATTGAAACTTTGTATCCCACCTCAACAATGAGAAGAGTGTCTAGAAATTTCTTCCTGAGCTCCACAATCTGCTGCTACAGAGGAGTAAGCTTCTCCTTTCCTGATGGCAACTTTCCATCACAGGAGGAATTTCCATTAGAAGCATCCTGTCCCCAATAACATTTACAAAATTTCTATACCTGTGTGCTTGCAAGAGGATTTAGATGTAGAAGCCAGGTTGGGGTATTGATTGGCTGCGTTCTCAGCCAGTCGTTTAAGATGACACAGTGATCATTCTTGAAGAAGCTGGTGGCCGCAGTGCTTAGTATATTTATTATAAGATTCTTATATTATTTTATTAGAATAATATTATTTGTAGGTGAACCATATATTATAGCTTACTTGCTAAATCTGAGAGGGAGATGGCTAATTATTTTCCTGTTGCATTTGTTAGTTATTGTTAGTTATTGCAAGAGTGAAATTTCTGCAATATTTATCTTTGGAAACTCATTAGTAGATTATAGAAATAACAATTACATTTTAAACACTTATGCAAAGGCTAATTTCCTCCCTATGGAAGGAAGTTCCTTAGTGGAGCAATAGGGATATTTTCAAATGGAAATCTCATTCTTGATGTTAGTAAAGTGTTTAAATTTGTTCATTTGCAACTTCATATTTAAATCTTTAATTAATTTAACCATTTTTGTCACCCACAAAGAATATATAGCAAAGTGTAAATTATGGAAGTGTTAGATGTGGATTGTTCAATATTATTGAAGTTTGTTGAAAGAAAATTCATTTAATTTTTTAATTTTGTGTCAAGAGAATCTTTCCAAGCCAAAATTATCCATGACCTATTTATCTACAAGTGAAAAATTTCATTGAAGATAAACATATACTCATATCTCAAATTTGTCTAAATGCAACACTAAACATCATAAACAAATCTATATTTTACATAACATATGGATCTAATAATATAATTAATAATTACTATGAACTTGATTCTTTTTTGCCAAGTTAATACACAATTTTAGAGTTTATTGATATTTTGATGCAACTTTATGATACTCAAATTCTGGTAAACATAATTCATAACTTTAAACTATTATACAACCTCTTTATTCATGTTATAGATCTTGTATCAAGAAAGAACATGCAAAATTGTGGTTGCATCCTTATTTTCATTAGGTTGTAGCACATTCTTTTTTATCAAACACCATTAACTAACTTGCAAAGTAGTAAGCCAGTTTAATTACAAGCTTAATTTAGTCTTATTTTTCTTAGATTAAATTTACTAGGACTCAATATTTTTTATGTAGACCCTTACACTATATTACTTAATATTGTTCAAAATCTTCTATCATATAGTAAATTTGTATTAAAGAAAAATACTTTATTTTTTAATCATGAAAAATTGTAATAGGCTTCCCAATTTTTAATGTTGGATGTTGCAACTTTATAAAACCCAATTAAAATACTTTAGTGACAAAATATTTACCCTTGATTTTATCTTATTTAGATCTAAGAAAGTATATTTATTGGGATCAATTTCATCCTACCTCCAAAATTTATAACATGCTTACTGATCTATTTTGAATGAAAGTGATTATATATATTCTATCAACATCTAGCAATTAACTTCTATATAATAAATTTTAATACAAATTTTTATTAGTCTGATTTTATTTATAAAATATTATAATAAAATTTTAAACTGAAGTTTTTAAAAGTAATTTATAAATGTATTAAACACTTTATTATAATAACATTTATGTATAATATTTTAATTTAGAAAAATAAATAACTAGCAATACAAACATATAAATTAATCAAGTTTAGATTATCTGATTTAGATTTTTTAGGAATTTAAAGATTATCTACTAATTTAAGAGCATTAGATTATATATAAAATAGTTTTACTTATATTTTCTTCACCATTACTGCTGCTATAGTTTTAAAGATAAAATAATCTTTAATTTATGTAGTGAATTAAATAAAAAATAACACTATTCTTTCATAGATATAAATGTTTTTTATCACACCAAATTAATAGTAAACATTTCTTCTATAAACCCTATACAATGTTTTACTATCAAAGTTCATTTAATTAAATTTATTTTAAAAAATTTGAATTCAGCTTTATTAAACTAAATATACTTATTTGAACCAAAATCTGGGATCACTGCTAGCACACGTGGTTCTTGTTGGATTCCAAGTCTAGAGATCCTCGTCTTGCTTACCAAATATCTTGACGTCCCCGATCAATCACAAGCTCCACCTGGGTTTCCATTTAGAGATGAAACAAAAGTTTGTAAAGCAGCGAAGTCCATTTTGATCTTCGTCACGAACTTGTCTTCCGAGAACTAAGAGCCTGTCAAGCCTCTCACGAGTTACAATTCTTCACAGGGAAAAAAGAAAGAAAACACAGCTCCACCTTGAGTGCCTAAACCACGAACATTGCTCATAGTTACTCCTCGAATTCCAACTCTCAGCAATGCTTGATTGAAAGAACAAAAAGCTTGAATAAAAAAAACCTTGAATCCTTGAGAGTTCTTACCCTTGATGCTTGGGAGTCTCCAAGGTCTAGAAAAAAAGGAGAGAGAAGCAAAGAAATTGGTATTACTGCGTTACCAGTCAGATCCGAGCTCCAAAGAATCCGTCCACATCCTCTATCCTCACAATCCAAAAGAAAAGAGAAAGAAAGCTCAAACCTCTCTGCAGCA